GGGCATGTGGCTGGGGGGGGCCGCCCCCGGGCGGGCAAGTGTCCCCGCCCCCTGGCGCCCGGCGGGCGAACGGCCACGCCCCCTGGCGCCCGCCAACCTGAAAAGGTTGGGGACCACTGCACTAGATTAATAAATCAAACAATAAATGAGATACAAGTAACTTTGATTTATACCAAAACTTTCTTTTGTTCCGAAAGTATTTAAATATTGAATTATAACCAATTTTTTAAAAGTTACTTAAAATAGTTTCAGGTACTGAAGCAACTTCAGTACCTCCCTGCTAATCTTTAGAATTTTGCAAACAGTTTTCTTCCTCTGACGTATTTCTTTCTCCAGTTTCTGGGTGAAAGATGTACACAAAAATGGGGAAAAATAACTGATATCCACTTATGCCTGCATAAAGCTGTTTCATACTTCTGGTCTATTAAGTAGAAAACAGAGATTTAGTTTCTAGAACTTTCTTAGGTCCCCATCCTGCTTGCACTTCCCTATCACAGTTTTGAAGAGACAGTACAGGCATGTCTATACAGCAGGGCTAAAGCTGAAATAATCTATGCAACTTGAGCTACGTCAATTGTGTAGTTGAAGTCGAAATAGCTTATTTCGGCTTTTGGTGTTGTCTACACAGCAGGAAGTCTAAGAGAGCACTCTTCCTCCAACTTCCCCTACTCCTTGTACAATGAGGGTTATAGGAATTGGAGTAAGTCATCCTCCAGCTAGACTTTATTTCGACATTATGTCAAAATAACTGCTTGTAGTGTAGACAAAGATTTCACTTTGGAATAACATTGATTAATTATAATGCTGCTCTGTAGACATAGCTTGCATGCCCTCACTAAAGTCTGCCAATAACTGGACTTTCTATTCCACTACAAATTCTAACATTTAAAATAAAATTCCTGTTTCAATCAAAGAAAAAAACAAAAATATGAATCCCCCCCCCCCCGTAAAATAGTGTCTGCAGTATTTCATTTTAATAGTATCAAAACTTTCATTTTGACTTTTCCCCCTGTTGGTCAAAAGTCAACACACTCCTGTAAAATGTTTATATGAAACTGCACTTTGCAATGAAAAACTATTATCTAAAGTGTATAACCCTGCTCTAATCCACATAATTTCTAAGATTTTCCCTCTCCCCCGCTCCAAATTTTCTGTTTTAATCTCTCCCCTAAAATCCACAGTCCATCCACATAAGATAAAAGACAGGAGGCCAGAGATGTGGTTTAATTAGGCCACAACTTCATTTACTTATAGTACCTGGGAGGACCCAGAAACAAATTATGTAGATCAGGAAGAAAGGGGCCAGCTCTCCAATATTCCAGCCATAGAAGTTCCAAATGTTATACCTCAGCTCCTACAAGTTATGTTTTCCTTCAAACCCTTTTCCAATTAATTTAATCCAATAATCTATCCCTTCCACATCTCATACCTGCACTGGACATCTGCAATACGTTTTATTTTTTAAGTTTGGCTATAACATAACACCAATATACAGGGGACCAACATCGTCCACAGAACCCTGGGCCAGGCAGAGGGTGGGGTGGCTCCATGCTCCCAGAAAGAGTGGGGCCTCAGCAGAAGGGGAGGCGCTGGAGGCAGCCAGCCCTCTGTGCAACACAGAGCACAGCACTACCCATCCCCAGAGCCACCCAGAGGACAGTACTCCAGTGGCAATTTAAAGGGCCCGGGATGCCACTTTGAATTGCCATGTCACAGGGCAACTGCCTGCTTTTTCCCTTCCCCCATCCAAGTCAGCAGCCCCGCTATTCCTTCACTCTACCAGCTTCCAGACCAGCTGTGAGGAAGACAAAAAACACCATCCATTCTCAGCCAATCTGGCACTGAACATAAAATTCCTTCCCAGCTGCCTAAGGAAAAGAGCAAATAACATCAGGTTTATTATTAAGGCTGTCAAAAACTTCCTATTATAAGACCCTATTTTCAGTTGCCTAAACAATTTTGCCAAATTTTAACCTTTCGGGCTTAATCTTTGCATGTCAGGTATCTGCCTCAGGCCAAATTAATTTGAAAATGTCAGCCAAAATGTTTCAGTGTTTCCAGGAAAGAACCAAGAATCATTCTTTTGCCCATGTTAAATTCTTGTCACTTTGTTTGAATGCTGTTAGCACCCCTATGCTTTGCAACAGGGACTTCAAACGTGACAGGGGAGACTGCCATGGAGGGAACTGCTTTTAATCACTCAGGTATATTTGCCCAGGTTTGACAAAAGTTATAAATCTGAAAAATCTTTGAAGGTTCCCTCTTCACTGAGCATATTTCAAAGTTCACAGCTCTTAGTGCTAACCAGACTGCAATTAAACATATTCACTCCATCTACAGAAGTGAAGAAGCTGGACTTCTCAGCAGTGCTTACTCCTAGTTGCTCCAGGCAAGGATATCAAGGTGCCAATCTCTCGTGTTCTCTTAGTGACTCCCAGGGCACCCAGGCCACGTGGATGAAGAAGACATCTGAATCAATGTAGAAAGGACAACTGGACACTGAGGGAGAGAGGTAGAATGGAACAAGGAGAGTGATGAGACTGGCTGGGGAGGGGAAGAGGGTTGGATTTATTGAGGAACTGGTTGAGCAAGGAGACTGGGAGCCAGTTGGCACAAGATGTGGAAGGGAACACAGACCGGATGAGGAGCCAGGAGAGGTGGGAGACTGGGACTGACTGTACAAGGAGAAAGACTGGTTGAGGGAGAGGAAGAAACTCACTTGCAACTTTGATAGCCTAGAAAAGGAAACTAAGACTGGCTGGGCAGGGAGATGGAATGAGAAGCATGAGGAGTGAAGACTGGGACTGAATAGATGTGGAGAATGGGAACTGAATGGGAACTTGAATAGGGTAAGGGACAGATTGAAAAGGATAGGGTGAGTATGTCAGGCACTGAGGGAACAGATTAAAGAATGTGTCAATTTGAGTTCACATTCCTTCAGAGTCTGGAATGTAATCCAAGATTTCCTGGAGTTGCCATTCCCATGCAGTCAATACTTCTCTCTGGAACCCTGTGGCAAAGTGTCCAGTCCTTCCCATTCCCCTTTAATACTGGTGTACACTGAGGCTGACATCCTACTAGGGCTATCTAATTCTAAAAGATCCAGTCTTACTAAAGAATCAATATGATTCCACAATACAGTTTGTTTTGATTTTATTTTACAAAGCACACACACAAATAAATTGAAAGAATACGATGATTGCAAACTCAAATACAGTACTCAAAAGTTAAGACATGCCATACACACACACACAAAACACTAAGAAAGATATTGGCACCTTGTCTTTAGTAATTTCCCCAATTTTCAATAAAACAACTGTCAGCATTATCTTACAATTTTGTTTCTTTGGACTCAAAGATGTGTATTATTCAGTCAGGTGATTTTACAATTCTGTAAGTTTCTAGAGGCCATAATATCTGCAGATTCTACTCTGACACACTAATAAACAAATGCCCCTATGAGAGAAATTTTCCAGTCATCTACCTTCCAGGTACCAAGAGGGGCCAGTGAGGGGAAGTGACAATATTTCTAGTCCACTTTAGAAAGCCACTAACTGGTGCACTTTATTCCTGGGGAACTTTTTATTGGTACTTTGTTAGGGCTAGTGTTAACAAACTCTTCAGGTGCACAATTTAAGAATTGACCCCCTAATCCTGATAACATCCATCCATTCAGGTTTACTCTCCACTCATCAACTCAACCTGTCTGCAATGGTGCTTTCTTTTCCTGAAAGAGAGGTGAGCACTATAAATGATGCCAGAGAACCAAAGGCTGGGTCCCATAGCTAAATTGTGCGTTATAACATATGTTACACAGTCAAAAACTCTGCAGAAAAATCTTTAGTGTTACAGATATGGTTGCTGCTTTCAAATTCAAAGTTAAGCACAGAGCATGGTGACACTGAGGCTACGTCTACACAGCACATCAATTTTGAAATATGCTATTCCGGAATAGTTATTGAAACAGCTTGTCTACACTGCAGGGAAGCCTCAAAATTAGTCTAAGGCAGGCTTCCCTGATGTAGATGTGCTATCTTGATTTAGAGCCCCAGGAAGCACCGGGGGAGGGAGGAGGGAGAATAACTTAGAATGGTCCTGGTGAAGGGCTATTTTGAAATAGCAGCAGTGGTGCATCTACTTTGTAGAATGAGGTTTCCAGTTT